CCCCCCCCCCCCAAAGGAATCTTCATGAAAATGCAAGTACAAGAGGATAACGAAAAACCATAAAACACAGACGGAATTAAACTTCAAATGAACACATAGATTTGCAATTTGCAACACCTAACAAGCATCTCGAAACGTAAAAGTAAGAAAATTATGAACAAAACTGAAAACCTTGAAAATTATATGAAACAATTGAGCAGCGAAGGAATTTTAGGAAGGAAGGAAGTAAATATGAATAATACCATCGTATCTCTCGGCTTGCTCTGCAATTCTAGCAAAGTAAACAGCAATCTCGCTCCTTCTCCGTATCCATGGTGTCTGCAAAAACCCTCTTTTGTGCCCGTCGCCGTCGAGATGGAGAAGAAAGATTGTCGTCGTTGAGAAGGGAACTCCCGTCGCCGTGGAGAAGGTGCGATGGAGTGTGCAGGGTCTTTGGCAGGTGCAGGGGCGTCGATGCAGGTGCGATGAGTGTGCAGGGGCGCCGATTGAGGGTGCGATGTGGGGAAGAAAGGGGGATTGAGGGTGCGATGTGGGGAAGAAAGGGGGAAGAAAGGGGGAAGGGTATTCAAGTAAAAATGTCTCTGTTCCACTTAGTTCCAGGGGTAAGGAGAGAACACCCGTGTCCCATGCTTGTCCAACTTAGTTCCACATTTAGCCACACCAAACGTAGGACAAATGTGTTATGTCCTGTCCTGTCCCACCCTGTCCAGCGTACCAAACGCACCCTTAAAGTTTCTCCTTTTTTTGTAATTTTTTAATTCAAATTTTTTATTATAATTTAATTTAGGTTTAATAACAAAGTATTCATATTTGGTTTAATAATATAATTTTTTTATAAAAATAATAAGTAATTATTTTGTCGAACTAGATAATTATTCTAATTATAATTTAGATTTTATATATTTTAATATGAGATGTTTATCTTCTATTTGATTATGTTTATCTGTAGTTAGTTAAATGAATTCAAACATAGAGCTTTAGTAAGTTGTACTAATGCACAATTTACTTGTAATCTTGAATTTTAAGTAATATGCATTAATAAACAGTACCTCATGCACAAAAAATGGGTTTTAAGAGTTTTTTTCAAATGTTTTATAATATAGTATATATGTTAATCTCAAGATTAACATTTTAGGATCTAAAATACACATTCCACCATTATAGTGACCTTTAAGACGTAACTTGATACTAAAATAAGTGTTTTTAAAAGTATAAACGCCAAAAAGTTGTGCAAAAGGGTTTATACTACCTTATAGAATGTTCATATCATATAACGGTTCTATAGCCATCATGAATTAGGTAAATCCAGATGTCCTATAGCAGAATGGGTGGGGTCGATTTCAACTTTGACGCATTGTTGTGGAAACTTCAGCTCCTTTTGGTATGAATAATTTAGTGAGAACATAAACATGATCATAAAGTTAATCTTGAAATTATTCAATATAATAATAATTTTATAGAAAATAAGTAATTATTATGCCTCTATATTAATCGTCATAAATCTAATCGCATTTTAATACATTTAACATTAGCTCGATTTAAAAAACTCAACCTCAATTAACTGATAAATATTCTAAATGTACGTGAATCATTTATGACGAGTTAGTTGTATTTATAAAAAATAATCCAATCAAATTCTGAAGTATTTGGTTTTGGCTGGTATTGTTGCTATAAGTCCGTTCGGAGAGTCTGTGGCATAATCAAAGAAGGATTTGAGTCTCCATCATCAAAGTTAATATATTTTAAAAGTCAACGTCAAAACAATGATCATATCTTAAAAAATACGGGGAAATGCATTTGAAGGGTAAGCTTTTTGTGTCGTTGGTCCGTGTGGTGTTGTCGTTGTTGGGTTGCACCTATGGCTATGAGACGCCCCCCATGTTGTTTGACTGCCTGGTTCTTGTTCTAATTGTCTTTGGCTATTGATCATGGTTTGAGGAGCCCTTGGCCTCTTTGTTTTTGGTCTTTTTTGGACTTCTTTCGTTTTATTTTGGTTTGGTTGGTTTTGTTTTGTTGGATATTGGCTTCATGCATCTCGTAGATTTCGTACTTTTTATTGTCCTTCCCCTTGTATTATCGTGTTTTGTTTAATGTTACTTCCTTGTCTTTAAGAAAAAAAATTCATCATAATGATTTCACATCTATCTTCGTAGAAAAAGTATTTGACTACAATTTGTTTAAAATATATCCAAGTTTGTATGTTAAATAATTTTAAATATAACTGGTCTTTATGTTGGGAAAAACGAAGCCACTAACGGTAAACAATAAATGCGGAATTAACCTTCGTTAGGCTAAACTTTTCCAACCCAAATGAACCTTTGAGGATGCAAACAAATAGGGTATTTTAAATGCAAGTAAAACAGCCCCCAAGACGTAAAAACAACAACCACAATGAGACACGAAATTTTAGCGTGAAAAACCCCTCAAAACGAGTGTAAAAACCACAGGACTACTAGAGCCGCTTAAAATCCACTACCACCAATATTAGAGCAATACAAAGTCTTCTCTAGATTACACTAGAGGCATACAAAACCATCA